TTTAGGTTTATAAATTAGTTGTGGAAACACTAGGAAAGTGTTGGGAAAATAAACCCAGTACAACTAATTTTTCTATAATCAGATTAGTGAGAATGTGAAATAAAAGCAGAAAAATAATACCCGAAATTGATAACGTAGTTCAACCAATTTTTGTCTACGTCTCCGGACTGCTACAGATCTTTTATTAAAGAGAGAAAATTTACAGGTGTTTACAAAATACTCACTACTCACAAGAGAACTCTCTAAACTCTTTAGTATTGGGAGAAAGAAATTGATTTTGGGATGATTTTGAAGCTAAATGAGCTAGGATATTTATAGTTGAAGCTTAAGGGTTAATCTTGTAAATACCTTAAAGTTCAATGACTCAATTTTGTAATTATCCCTATTATAAAATAATAAAAAAATTTAGCAGCCCCCCACTTGTTTTTGCAGCCGCCGGCTGCTTGAAGAAATTTCAACAATCTCCCACTTGAAGACTGATTTTAATCTGTCTTCACACCTCGATCGATGTAGTAGCATTTCTAGTCTTGTTATTCTAGCATGCCAACTGAAGTTGAACACAACTTCAGTTTGTCCGTAGTCACCATCTTTGTCAACATGTCTGCCAGATTTTGAGCTCCACTGATCTTTTCAAGTTTCAAAATCCCATCTTCCAGAAGAGACCGGATAAAATGATATCTCAATTGTATGTGCTTCGTCCTGGAATGAAAAGACGGATTCTTTGCTAGATGGATAGCACTTTGACTATCGTAATACAAGACATTGTTTTCTTGTTTCTTACCTAACTCTTCCAAGAAACTTTGGAGCCAGACCATCTCCTTGCTGGCTTCCGTAACAGCGACATATTCTGCTTCAGTTGTGGAGGGAGCAACTATCTTCTATAGTTGAGAAACCCAACACACTGTAGTTCTTCCTAGAGTATAGACATACCCTGTAGTGCTCCTTCTGATGTCAACATTTCCGGCTAAGTCAGCATCTACATAGCCTGTCAGTATCGTATCTCCACCTTTGAAACAAAGTGTTTTGTTTGTAGTACCTCGCAGATATCTGAGAATTCATTTGACTGCTTCCCAGTGTACATTGCCTGGATTATTCATGTACCTTCTAACAGCTCCCACTGCATGAGCAATATCTGGTCTGGTACAAACCATGACATACATCAGACTTCCAATTGCTGAGGTATACGGCACCTTCACCATGTGTGCATGTTCTTCCTCCGTCTTTGGTGACTGTTCTTTGGAGAGTCTAAAATGAACACCTAAAGGTGTACTTACTGGTTTAGCATCTTGCATGTTGAACCTGGAGAGTACTTTGTTGATGTACTCAGCCTGTGATAACATCAAAGTCCCCAACTTTGTGTCTCTCTTAATCCTCATACCAATAACTGTTTTGCAGCGCCCAGATCTTTCATTGCAAACTGCTTCCACAATTTTTGCTTCAAGTTTATAATCTCTTGTATGTCTGGGCCTGCAACGAGCATGTCATCAACGTACAACAAAAAAATAATGAAGCTATTGTTGAACCTCTTGATGTAGCAACAATGATCTGTTTGGCATCTGGTAAACCACTACTACTCATAAAACTATCGAACTTCTTGTACTACTGTCTTGGAGCTTGTTTTAAACCATACAAGCTCTTCTTCAACCTGCATACCAGGTTTTTCTTGCCTGCCTCTATGAAGCCTTCTAGCTGCCTCATATAGATTTCTTCCTCCAAATTACCATGAAGGAAAGTTGTCTTTACATCTAATTGCTCAAGATGTAAATTCTCTGCAGCTACAATTTTCAACACCAGTCTGATTGTAGACAGTTTTACAACTGGAGAGAAAATTTCATTGTAGTCAATACCTTCTTTTTGCTAAAAACCTTTGACAACCAATCTTGCTTTGTAGCGTTTGCTCCCATCGTTCTCTTCTTTGATCCTGTAAATCCACTTGTTATGGAGCGCTTTCTTGCCTTGTGGTAATTCAGCTAATTCCCACGTCTGATTTGACATAAGCGAGTCCATCTCATCTTTCATGGAAGACTCCCACTTGACTGAATCCTCCACCTGCATTGCTTCATCATAGCACTCTGGTTCACCATTGCCAGTCAGCAACAAGTAGTGCAAAGAATGCGAATAACGCTGGGTTGGTTTAGGAATTATGGAGGAACGTCTCAGTTCTGGTGTGCCTGGTTCTTCTTGAACTGCTTCAGGACTGATTTGAACATCATTTCTGGAAATCTCCTCGAACTTAGCAAATTCCTTTGTTTCAGCTTCGGTATTGGAGCTACTTGATTTTATGTTTGTCTTGTCTTTGTACATCACATTCTCATTGAAAATAACATCTCTACTTCTGATGATCTTTCGATTTTCATAGTCCCAAAATCGATAACCGAACTCATCACCACCATAACCAACAAAGACACATTTGTTGGACTTGGCATCAAGTTTACTTCTTTCAGCAGAATCTATGTGTACATAAGAAATAAAACCAAACACTCTTAAGTGTGAAAGGTTTATTTCTTTCTTGCTCCAAACTTCCTCTGGTATTCTGTCATCCAAAGGAACTGAGGGCTCACGGTTGATCAGGTAACCTGCAGTGTTGATAGCTTCAGCCCATAGAAATTTGGGTAATCGGGCATGTATCCTCATGCTTCTGGCATGTTCATTCAGAGTTATGTTCATGCGCTCTGCTATGCCATCCTGTTGTGGTGTCATGGGAACTATTGTCTCCATCTTGATCCCATTGTTTGCGCAGAAATCTCTGAATCTACGATTTCTGTACTCTTCTCCATTGCCATACCTCAACCGCTTGACTTTCAGACCAGTATCATTTTTCACCATGGCCTTCCATTTTCTGAAGGTATCAAAGACTTCTGATTTCTTCTTCAGAAAATAAACCCACACCTTCCTTGTAGAATCATCGATGAAGGTGACATAATATAATGAGCCTGCAAAAGATGGAACTGGAGATGGTCCTCATACATCAGTATGAACCAACTCTAACTTTTTAGCCTTGGGTGTCTTACCAATCTTTGCAAAGGTGACTTTCTTTTGTTTGCCAAAGATGCAATCCTCGCATAGTCCGACATCTACATTCTTTAGATCTGGCAGCTTCCTTTTTGACAAAAGTGTCTTCATCCCTTTCTCGCTCATATGACCAAGCCTTTGGTGCTATAGGTTTGATTTTCCATCAGCATCTGCTGCAGCAATGATATTCTCTAAATTTGAGGTTACATAGAGAGTACTAGTCTTCTTACCATGAGCAATGACGAGTGCTCCTTTGGTAATCTTCCATTCACAGCCTGAAAAGGTTGTACTATAACCTTCTCCATCAAGCTGTCCTACAGAAATCAAATTTCTTTTGAGGCCAAGAATATGTCTCACTCCTGTCAGCTTCCAGGTGGTCTGGTTTGGCAACTTTAGTTGGATGTCTCCTTTTTCGACGATCTTCAAGGTTTCATCATCAGCTAGATGAACCTTCCCAAAATCACCACTGACATTGTTCTCCATGATTTCTCGGCATGGGGTGGAGTAGAAAGATGCCCCTAAATCCAAGATCCATGATTTAATCAGATTATTGACACTTAGAATCATGGCATCACTTGTCTCCTCTGTCACGTTGGCAGATTCCTGTGCGTCGGTATTTTTCTTCGGTTCTCGGCAATCTCTTTTAAAGTGACCATTCTTGTCGTAGTTATAATAGGTAAAATCTTTCTTTCCCGTTCTTGATTTTTCTCTTCTGGATTTGGATCTGCCACGATTTGAATTTCTTTCTGAAGTTCTCCCTCTAGACTCCGTGTGTAAGGCTGAGGAGGTTGATGCTTCATCCGATTCTCTCCGTCGAATTTCTTCGCTCAGTACCAAATCCCGAACATCGTTGAATTTTAATTTGTTATTTCCCGACGAGCTGCTGACTGCTGTAACAGTAGCATTCCAACTGTCTGGTAGAGATGATAAGAGAATTAAAGCTCAAACTTCATCATCGAATTCAATTTCCACTGAACTCAACTGGGGTTGTGATTGTATTGAGTTCATTTAGGTGTTGAGCCATTGATGCCCCTTCCGTCATCCGCAAATTGAATAATCACCTCATCAAATGAACTTTGTTTGAGGCTGATGACTTCTCATACATACTGGAGAGAGACGACATAAGACCCGCCGTAGTCTTTTCCATTACTATGTTGAAAGTAACATTATGGGATAACGTCAGTCGGATAACTCCGAGGGCTTGTCTGTCAAGAAAGGCCCACTCTTCATTCTTCATGCCCTCTGGTTGTTTTCCTGAGAGATGTTGATATAGATTTTTCTGGTACAGAAAATCTTCAATCTGCATCTTCCAAAAGCCAAATTCTGCACCATTGAACTTTTCAATTTTCACATTCCCTTCGTCTGCAGCCATCGCTCCCACTCGAATCTGGCTTCTTTGGATCGTTTCTGACAATTTGTGTGAACCACCGTATATTATAACACCTCCGTCGATAAACTCGTATCGCCGACAAAATTTTTACTATTCACGAAATTCACTATTCATATGAATAGTAACCTCACAAAAAATTGACAAAATTCACAATCAAAAGCTCTGATTACCAGTTGTTGGGAAAATAAACCCAGTACAAGTAATTTCCCTATAACCAGATTAGTGAGAATGCAAAATAAAAGCGGAAAAATAATACCCGAAATTGATAACGGAGTTCAACCAATTTTTGCCTACGTCTCAGGACTGCTGCAGATCTTTTTACTAAAGAGAGAAAACTTATAGGTGTTTACAAAGCGCTCACTACTCACAAGAGAACTCTCTAAACTCTTTAGTATTGGGAGAAAGAAATTGATTTTGGATTTTGAAGCTAAATGAGCTAGGGTATTTATAGTTAAAGCTTAAGGGCTAATCTTGTAAATACTCTAAAGTTTAATGACTCAATTTTGTAACTATCCCTATTATAAAATAATAAAAAAATTTAGCACCCCCCACTTGTTTTTGCAGCCGCCGACTACTTGAAGAAATTTCAACAGAAAGGACTCTGGTTCAAAGGGAGAGAAGAAGGTGAATAAAAAGATTAAGTATGTAGTTGAAGTGATCATTGGTTATATAAGCATGTGTTGTTGTAAGGGTTTCAGTGAGGAGAATGAAGGCATTGATGTGGATTTGGCAATTCCTGTTGAGGATTTGGCTTCTATTTGGATAGATAGAAATATAAATTTACAATCTTTTTTGCCACTTGTCAGTCATGAGGTTTGTGGATTGATTAGTGAGAGAGGGTTTGATGTGAATTACTTGGCTGGTGTGGTTGTGGTGGAAGCATTTTTGTTGAAACTTTGCTTGGATATAAGGATTGGGGCTGGAGGCTTGGTGGTGTTGGAAGATGAGCTGAAAAGTTGGGTTGTTGCTTCAATTCCAGCTTTCGCAACTCTTATTTCTTGGGTTAGTGCTTTCTACTCTTAAATCATAGGCTTATATGTGTATTTTTTTTCAGCTTCTACTTTGGTATTTTCGGTTGCACTTCAATTCATATGAATTAGAATGAAACATCCAATATTGTGCATGTCTCGGTAATCGGTATATAACTATGTGTTATGCATTGTTTCCTATAGTGAAATATACCTATTTTCCTTAATCACACTTCGTATTTTTGCTGTACTTATCGTCTAGTTCTTACTTTGTGCTGATCAGAAATGCTTATGAGGATGTTACTGCAGCCGACTTTGCCAGTGACTGCCTTGCTGGTTAGTTTGCTTTGCTCGGATATTTTGAATTCATTATATATCTTCCTCTTACTTTTAGTTTGTTTTGTGCTTTATATCAAGTTTCCCGCCAATGCTTAAAGGAGTAGTCTGTTGTAAGTGGTGATTCTATGTTAACTGTGTGTTTCTTTTCCCATGCAAATCCTTACACTATCTGTTGATGAAAACGGGTAAAGAAAACAAAAGAACACGAGAATTTTACGAGGTTCGGCAATGTGCTTACGTCCTCGGTGCCTAGGCGATGCTAGAAGTTTTATTCAATGATATTTTAGGTCTAGGTTACATCTCTATTTATAATAGAAAACACTGGTACATAATTACAAAATCAACCCTGTACCGTACCGCGGGGCCTGCGCCCCCGCACCCCCAACCCACATAATTCGTAACCCCACAACGAGACTTTCTTTGTAAGGACAGTTGATGTTCGCTCCGCTCCATCTCCTGTCCTCTTTACTGGTATATTTATGAGCCATACCTAACAAATCTCCACCTTGGCGAATATCCTGCCCCTTGGAAACTTCAATGTGGGTTGGGTTACCTTGCTTCTTTAACAACTCGAAACATTCAACAAGTCCAAGCAATACTTGAACTTGTCTGTCGTAACTAGCTTGGTTAACATATCAGCGGCATTCTCATCAGTATGTACCTTCTGAAACAAAACCTCTCCAGATGCAACCAACTCTCTGATCTTGTGGAACCTTACATCAATATGTTTAGTTCTAGCACGATACACCTGATTCTTAGCCAAGTGAATAGCACTTTGATTATCACAAAGCAACTGAACTCCACCTTGTTGAACACCCAACTCCTTCACTAAACCAGTAAGCCATAAAGCTTCTTTTGTAGCTTCAGCCGCTGCCATGTACTCAGCTTCAGTTGTCGATAGAGCCACAACAGATTGAACAGTAGACTTCCAACAAATAGGCCCTCTACCAAGAGTAAAGACATACCCTGTCGTAGATCTTCTATTATCCAAGTCACCTGCATAGTCTGAATCAACATATCCTACAACCAAAGGATTATCCCGCTGACTCCCAAAAACAATTCCATGTCCCACAGTACCCTTTAAGTACCGAAAGATCCACTTGACTGCTTCCCAATGTTGCTTACCAGGTTTAGACATGTACTTACAAACTTGACTAACAGCATGAGCTAAATCAGGACGAGTACATACCATCGCATACATCAAGCAGCCAACAGCATTAGAATACGGAACCTTTTCCATATCTTCAGCTTCCTTATCTGTCTTAGGGCACTGTTCTGATGAGAGTTTAAAGTGATTCGCCAATGGAGTGCTAACTGGTTTCGCGTTGCTCATCGCAAACCTTTCTAGCATTTTCTCAACATAACCCCGTTGAGATAACCGCAGTTTCCTTGAGTCTCTGTCCCTGCAAATTTCCATTCCAAGAATTTTCTTTGCAGCACCTAAATCTTTCATATCAAATTTCTGACTCAATAAAGTTTTCAAACCGATAACATCATCCATGTTCTTCGCAGCAATCAACATATCATCAACATACAGTAATAGAAAAATAAAAGAACCATCATCAAGGCTCTTAACATAGACACAACAATCATACTCACATCGGTTGTAGCCAATCTTGATCATATAGGAGTCAAACCATTTATACCACTGTCTCGGAGACTGTTTCAACCCGTACAAAGATTTCTTCAATCTGCAAACTAAATGCTCGTTTCCAGGTTGAGTGAAACCTTCAGGTTGCCGCATGTAGATCTGCTCCTCTAAAGCACCATGCAAAAAAAGCAGTTATAACATCCATCTGCTCTAAATGCAAATCACAACTAGCCACCAATGCAAGTACTGCTTGGATTGAAGTGTGCCTGACCACAGGAGAAAAGATTTCATCATAATCAACTCATTTCTGCTGTGAAAAACCCTTCGCTACCAAACAAGCCTTGAACTTCTCCCCCTCTTTTTCTGTTACTGCTGGTTTCTTCTTATACACCCATTTGCAACCAATCGGCTTCTTACCCTCAGGAAGGGGAACTAACTCCCATGTGCGATTGTGATTCAAAGACTCCATCTCCTCAACCATGGCTTCCATCCACTTTTCGTTTTCCTGACTAGTAACGGCATCATGAAAAGTAACCGGATCATCACTGCTAACAATAAGTGCAAAAGATACCAAGCCTTTAAAACCCAATCTGTTCGGAGGCTTTATATTCATCCGTCTCACCCTGTCTCTGGCGAGACTATAATCCTGCAAATCATCCGTAGTGGAACCACCATAAGTCGATTGAAAAGTTTCTGGTTTCTCAACTGGAAACTGCTCGAAATCCACCACTGTCGTGTCTTGCTTCTGCTGCAACATGGACTGTTCATCAAAAACGACATCTCTACTAATCACAACTTTCTTCGCAACTGGATCCCAGAACTTGAATCCTTTGACACCTTTCTTGTAACCCAGAAAAATGCACTCCTTCGATTTTGCATCAAGTTTGGATCTCTCATCAGCAGGTACATGCACATAAGCAGGACAACCAAAAATCTGTAAGTTATCAAAACTAACATCATGACGAGTCCATACCTCTTCTGCAACTTTCCCAGCCAGCGATGCCCTTGGCGATCTGTTGATAAGGTAACATGCCATGTTAACAGCCTCAGCCCAGAAGTGTTTGGGAAGCCCCGCATTCAACCGCAAACATCTGGCTCTTTCATTCAACGACCTGTTCATTCGTTCCGCAACACCATTCTGTTGTGGTGTCTTGCGCACTGTAAAATGCCTCTGAATCCCATGCTCCTTACAGAATTGTAGGAACTGTGAATCTGTGTACTCCGTACCATTTTCAGACCGCAAAAACTTGATTTTTGGTCCTGTTTGGTTTTCTACCTCAGCTTTCCACAGCTTGAACTTCTCAAAAACTTCAGATTTCTGTTTCAAAAAATACACCCAAACTTTCCGTGAAAAATCATCAATAAAAGTAACATAGTACCTAGATCCACCCAAAGACGATGTCGTGGAAGGCCCCCATACATCAGAATGCACATAATCAAGAATCCCTTGAGTTGTGTGCTTCGCAGTCTTAAAACGGACTTTAGTCTATTTACCAAGAACACAATACTTGCAAAAATCGAGCTTACAACTTTTGACACCATGCAACAAGTTTCTCTTGTGTAATTCTGCCATACCACGTTCACTAAGATGAGCAAGACGCATATGCCACAATTTTTTCGTATCATCACAGGACTCAACAGAGTGAACTCCACCTGCAACGGTACTCCCTAACAATATGTAGATATTCCCTGCAGTCATCTTACCTTTCATCACAGTCAATGCTCCTTTAACAGTCCGAATGGTTTCCCTATCCTCGTCAGCCTTAGGGATAAAACCATTCTTGTGCAAAGTGCCCAAGGAAATCAAATTCTTCTACAAGTCTGGGATATGTCGAACACCACTCAATCCGAACGGAGCCATCGTGCATCTTAATTCTGACATCACCAATACCAACAATATTGCAACATCGATCATCACCCAAATAAACCGAACCAGAATTAACCGGCCTGTATGTCGAAAACCATTCCCTATTTGGTGTGATGTGATAAGAACATCCAGAATCAAGAATCCAAGCATCCGTCAATTGTGTCGTTGAAATAGAAAGCATATCACCCTCACTGCAATCAGAATTATCATCCTCGACCACGTTCACAGACTTGGATGAGCCATCACGCTTCTCATCAGTCTGCTTTTTCAACTTCGGACAGTCTCGCTTCATATGTCCCGCCTCCTTGCACTTGTAACAGTGAATCGTCTTCTTATCCCTGGATTTGGATCTGGAATTCCGCTTCCCGGACCCTACCTTCTCTAGCTTCCGTCCACGATCTCGATTACCCTTGACATATAAGCTATCGGTTTGAGAGCTTTCTCTTGCATTCTGCTTCCGCTGGTTGTGAGCCAACAAGGCTGCAGTAATCTCCTCAACGTTGATAGTCTATTTCCCATATGTAAGAGTAGTCACCATGTGTTCGTAAGAGGGAGGCAACGAACACAACAGAATCATCGCTCTGTCTCCATCCTCAATTTTCACATCAAGCCAAGCCAGATCAGAAATGATTTGATTGAAGACATTTACGTGTTGCGCCAAATCGTGATCGTCCTGCATCTTCAGCCCATATAGTCGCTACTTCAGATACGGTTTTGTTGTTAAGGATTTGGACATAAACTGACTTTCCAACTTCCTCCAAATTTCGTCTGGAGACGATAGATGCATGACGTGATACATGACCTCGTCCGCCAAGCATAATCGTATGGTTCCTGCCGCTCGCTGCTGCAATTCTTCCCAATCTTCCTCATCCATCGACGCCGGCTTTGTAGGTCGCAAAGCCTTCAAGATCCCTTGCTGCGCCAATAGATCCTTCACCCTCGTTTGCCATAATCCGAAGTTACCCTGACCATCGAATTTCGCGACTTTGAATTTTGCTCCTGACATCTGATACCAATTGTTGACGAAAACGGGTAAAGAAAACAAAAGAACACGAGAATTTTACGAGGTTCGGCAATGTGCTTACGTCCTCGGTGCCTAGGCGGCGCTAGAAGTTTTATTCAATGATATTTTAGGTCTAGGTTACATCTCTATTTATAATAGAAAATACTGGTACATAATTACAAAAATCAACCCTGTACCGTACCGCGGGGGCTACGCCCCCGCACCCCCAATCCACATAATTCGCAACCCAACAACGAGACTTTCTTTGTAAGGACAATTGATGTTCACTCCATCTCATGTCCTTTTTACTAGTATATTTATGAGCCATACCTAACACTATCGCAATGTGAGGGGATTATGGCTTGTAGTTAGTCTCTTCCCTCTTTGCTAACTGATTTCACTTTGGAACATTGGACTCTTACAAACTCATTTCTTTTTAGGATTTAGCAGTCTGATTTGTTTTTGGTGAACATGAACAATTCTCCAGTCTTTTCATTAGTTTCTAATACCAAATAGGAGGCATTAAGTGGGGGTGAGGGGTATGAAGTATTAATGGCTCGATAATAAAACTCCGTCCAAGTCTTCATGCTCGTTTTCGTCTTTGTGCTTGAATTATGTCATGCTTAGAGTATTAAGCTTGTTGGTTGATTTTGTTTGTTGGTCAAACACTAATCTGATTATGTAAATATGCTTCAATTTATTGATGATCTTTTAAACGGAGGAGTCACTTGGTGGTGCAGGGACCTGACGATGTAATTCTGCTGAGAAATATTCTTTACGATGCTATTATTTTGGTGGAGTACTCTTTCCTCAAGCCCGAGACAGTTCACCTACCAACCGAGCATGTAAAAGTATCGTGACTACAAGATTGGGGATAAAAAAAGAGCAACTCGCTATACGAGTGCTTTCACAAATTCCGATTTACCTTCTCAAATAACCAAATGGATCTCGAGCCTGAATGGTATGTTCGAAAAAGCAGGAGGAATAAATGGATCCTCACCCAAAGCTCTTATAAGTGAGTAAACCCGATTAGTCCTATTATATGGAACAACTGTATCTTTTTCAGTTTTGCATTATTTAACTGCCCCGAAATGCAGAGAGTCGCTACTGAAGCTCTAGAAACAAGGGAAAAAGCTATTCAATGATAGTGTGTTGAAATACCACGCGAAATTACTTGTCGATGATTCCATGGAAGTAGATGAGCAATTGGTATCGAAGGAGCTTGAGGATGATGAGCCTTCGTTTTACATTGATGACAAAGGAGAAGAGGAAGAAAATGAAATGAAAAATGAATCCATGACAGCGGTATATGTGGCCGCTGCCCTTTCGATGAGACCGATGGATAACTTGAGGGAGAAAAGGAAAGGAAGTGGGGGTGAAGAGAAAGAGAAGATTAAGTATTTTAAGTATGCTCTTCCTAACAAATCTAAAGCGACTAAAGAGGTCCCGGTTCCTAGCTCAGGTTCGGACTCAGACATGGGTGCCTTGAAGGATGATTCGAGCAGTGACAGTGAAGTTGAGAACCCTGTCAAGTAGGATGAATGGCATATGTCAATGTCCAGACAACAAGTACGGAAAAGGGGCGTACCATTTGATTCAAGTCGGTTCAGTTATTTTTAGTTGATGACATATTGTTGCCTTGAAGTATGCCATATGTATCGATATTTTGAAGTGAATACCGATACTTTTACGCATGTATTGATACTTGAGGGATTTTCTTGAATTTTAGAAAATATCGAACCTCATTTTAATGTTGATTTTATGAGGTATTCATATCATTGGTGAATATTGATACGTTATGAATTTAATTATATTAGAGATAATAGAATTTTAATAAGATTGAAGGTGGCTAATTCATTAGTAATGCTTACACCATTCCCAACCTCCAAAACATCTAAATAAGATGATATTGTGTTGAAACATGTAATTTATGGGATATTGCAACAACAATGGTACCTATCAAATTAAATCACAACCTGCTTACTTTTATACAATTTTATTGTTCTAATTGCTACAAATATTCAACATTGTCAACTATTCCCATCAAAATCTTGACTCGTTTTTTCTCTTAAAAACATTTGTTTCAACACAAAAGATCCATATTAGTAGTTTAAAGTGTAGTTTTTTTAATAAATAAAAAGATCATATAAATAATTAAGGGTATTAGTTATTTCAACCAACTTAATAACACTGCAAAAACATAGAACCAAATAATACTAAATCAAAGTACAAAAACTAAATTCCAAATTTTAGCATAACATGGGGACTAAATCCACAGTTTAACCCCCAAAAAACCAGCCCATTTTGATAAATGGAAACCAACTTATTATATCTCTCCTATTTTGTTTATCGAACTAATATTTAAAAAATCAATATTATTTTTTTTATTTTAATCACCAACTATTAAAATTTTACCGGAGACATTGATATTAACTTTTTTGAAAAAATAATGGCATAATAATAAAATGTGTCATTAATATTTGATTAAATAATTATTTTAGTTTCTATTTTTTTTGGATCATTCTAGTCCCAATGATTCATTTTGTGATAAAATGATCTCTAGTTGGATGAAAACCGTTAATCGGCTAATATTCAATATTTTTCACTCACGTGAAAAATCATACATGTCAAATATGATGACGTGGTACACACCACTTGTACATTAGTGATGACATATCACATGTTTAAAATGATGAAGTATCACATGTACATAAGCGATAATGTGACACATACTATATATATATAAGTGATGATGTATCATATATCATGTGTGCATAAAGTGACAATATAATATATGTCACATTATCCTTTTGACGTCATAGAATTTGACACATCAATAACATGCATTATTATTGTCAGAACCGTCTTTCGGTTGGGCCGAAATTGGGCTTCGACTTGGATTAAACAAATTGAAGTCGCCACCGATCATTTATTTTAAAATAAATGGGTTGATCGGATACCCTATTTTTTACCTGATCTGCGTCTTTCCAAAGATGTGTCGGATTCGGGAGTCGGTTACAGTCAAGGAAGGGTTAGCACCCTTGAACTGCCCTTTCGATACTACGCAATTTCCAATTGTCTTATATTAAGAAAATTGTAATTTAAAATTAAAAGGTAAAAATATGATCCCAATTACTTACCTTAGATAGTTTTAAAGGTATACCCTTAAGAGAGTCAAGAAACGTGTTAGATAAAATAATAAAATTAAATAGAATAAAGAAAATAAAAAATGACCGAAATAAAGGAATACAAAAAAGAGTGAAGATAAAAATGAATACGATAAGAAAAATAAAATGAGGAAAAATAATAATGATAATAATATATACATAATAAACGAGTAAATAAAAAATAAGAAGAAAATACAAATAAATAAAACAAATGTAAAGAAGATAAAAAATAAAGATAAAGAATAAAAATAAAAATGAAATAGAGGAATAAAAGTAAATAGAAATAAATAAAATAGAATAATAATAATACTACTATTAATAATAATAAAAACAGTAAGTAAAGAGTAATAAAAGAAAATAAAAATAGAAGGGTATAAGAATAATAAATAATATATATATATATATATATATATATATATATATGTATGTATGTAATAATAATCTAATATTTGCAACAAATAAAAAATAAATGAAAAAATGTATATATATATATATATATATATTAATAATAATATGTATAAATAAATAATAGAGAGAGAAAATAAAATAATAGTAGGGAAATGAAATAAAATAGGATAAAAAAATATAATGAATATGCATATAAATAAAATGTTTTAAAAAATAATAATAAATTAAAAAAGGATAAAACAAAATAAAACATATAGAATATAATAATGATAATAAAGTATATATAATAATAATAGTAAGAAAAAAATAAAATATAAAAAAATAAATTTTTTATAGCTCTTCTCCTCTTCTTTCCAAATGTCCGAACGATTTTTACAAAATAGCCTCGAGGTTTCGTATATCTAAAAAGTTAGTTTCAAAAAAAAACCCTCTGGTCATCTGCTTTTTGAGTTTTTGTGGTTTTACAAATAGAAAGCAAGAAACAAACGACACATGCAATCCTAACAACCGAAAAAGGTAAGGTTTTTTACCTTTGTTGCCCTCGAAACTTTGCAAAAAAAAATGCTTTGATTACTCCAAATTTTCTGTTCGTATTTCATCTATCAAATTGTGTGTTACAATCGATATTTATAATATTTATGGATCATATTTTTAGGAGTTTGAATCTTAGTAAAACTCTATCATATTTTTAGGAGTTTGAATCATAGTAAAACTCTATCATATTTTTAAAAATTTGAATCCTAGTAAAACTCTAACGTTATGTTTGTTTTCCGAATTCCACTAAATCGAGGTTGTTGAGAGTGTTGTGTCTGGACGAAAATGTGTGTTGGCAATTATTAGTTAACTATTAATTTTTATTCGATTATAGATATTTTATTTTAAAATAAAATATTAAATTCAAAGTGTTTAAAAAAATAAGGGTTAAAATAATTATTTTATCAAACAGTAGTGGTGAATTCTCGGTGGGAGTGAGTTTCTGGCTTTTCTCGAAGCATTGGTAATGGTATTGTTCGACCTTGAATACTGAATTATGGGCTATTCACGACGTTCTGCTGCATGCTCGGGACCTTGGTTTGAAGAAAATTGTTGTGGAGATCTGATCAACAAGTCTGCCAATTCAAATGATAGCAGATCGATTATATTTTTAATCCGCACAGCAATCAACAGAGACTGGAAAGTTAAGATTGTTCCCATTTACCGTGAAGCTAATAAAGTGACGGATAAACTGGCTGTCATGGCTAGAGACTGTCCTATTGGTGTTGTCATACACAGTGAGATCCCAAGGGAGGTAGAGGCCCTTGTGGCTAACGACTGAACCCAGATCAGTTGAGTCTTGATTGTTATCACAGTATTACCAAAAAAAAAAGTTTGATGACTAAAATTGGAAGTAAGTAATAGGTTGGTGACTAGTGGTGTAGTTTATCCTAGAAAAACTAACCGAGGGTTAAGATTTAACCAGAAGTGGGGTTAAAAGAAGTAAATCCGTTGGAGTTTCCATAAAGCGTCGGTGGAAACTTCACCTCTGCTCTGTTTATAAAAATGAAAAAGAAGGAAATTGAAATAAAAAATAAATAAATAATTAATAGAGAGGGAGCAATGGAGCGAGGCGTATAGGGAGTTTTCGAGGGAGAAAAAATTGTTTGATTTATAAGCCATCAAAATCGAAGCAAGAGAGAGTCATATACTCTAATATCTATTGTTTTGAAGGGGAAAAAAAGAAAAAAATAAAGTTTTCTTCTTTCTTTGTTTGAATATAACAGAGAAAGAACCACAGCAATGGCTGACTCAAACGATTACATTCCTCTCTATGCTGAAAAGATCTATCTTGGTGGAAAGGTTTTTACCCCATTTTTCTACATTTCCATTTTGCAGTGTTGAATTGAGTTTTTAGTTTTTTTTAATGGAAAAATAAGGGAAGAATCCAATTTGATTCTGCAATATCGAGAATTTTAATGAAATGGGTTTGCTTAGATCTTCATTATTTGGTCAAAATTTGCCTTTTTTTACATGTTGTCTTGTATTTTTTTACACATTTGGTAATATATATATATATATATATATAACAATGAATTTTTGGCATTTTCTTAACCTTGTTTGACTTTTTTTTATATTTGACCTCTGTCGTAATCGATTTCCGGCGATACGACGTGTCTCGACTCACTTTGTGAAAACTCGATTTTGTAAAAGAATTGTTTCGGAGTCACCATCGACCTTTTGGATTAGATAGGTCGAATACCTAAAAAAATTCTTTTAAAAAGAGTTTTTAAGAAAAACGTCATTTTAAAAGATACAACGATCCACGTGTAACCAGAAATTCATTTTTTAGTAAGAAAAATAGTTCAGGGGTCGATTACGTGTGGGGAAGGATAAGCATCCCCCACAACGCCCAAAATTGGTATCCATCGATTATATATTGTCTCTAAATAGTAGAAATCTAAGAGTTCTAATACATATTTAAATTACAATTCCATTATTCCGAATTCAACTATACAAAAATTCTAAAGAAAAATATAAAATATTCTCTTATTTCCAATTGAAGAGAAAATACTACCTAAAATACTTTAAGACGAGTATTTCTCTTTCCAACTGAAATAAAAGGAATATAATAATTTTCCTAAGAATTCAATAATTTTTATTCAACCAAAGAAAGAAATTAAATTCATTAATCCGAATTATATTATTAGAAAAGATAAGTGATATTCAATAATTTAAAAATATCGAGACTTAATCCCTAATAAAATTAGCAAATTGTCTCGATAAGTTTAAAATACTGAATATTTACTTTTCCCTTCAAAATTAATTAATTTTCAATGCAATTAATTTTTTTTTAGGTTTTCTAGTGAGATATTTATTTATTTTAAAATATTGAAAAAGAACACCTAGATCTTAAGACTGTCCCTTCTTAATATTTTAAAATACATAAATATTACCCTTAATCCAATTATGTAATCGGTTAAGTTATGCTAATGAGGCTTTTAAACAAAATAAAATATGATACATTG